AGCCAAGTCCACGTTAGTTTAGCATTGCTAGCTACTCAGGGAAGACAAGCAAACATTTTACTAAGTTCTTCTCCAGAGTTCCTATGCGTTGTGCGTTGGTGGAGACTGAAAAAAAAACAGGCACCGATCTAGGCACAGGTCAGGACCAATTTTCAACAAAGTGATCACTCTAAAGCGGAAAGCAGCCACTTTTGCGTCTCATGCCAGTACGAATTTACGCACGTGGACGGGAAAGTCTAAAGGTAAAATTGTATTTCTCTTTCGGATTCTATGCCACATTCCGCTTGTTAAGTTGAAATAATCGAACCTATTAATTTTTCATAATGAAACCATGCTTGCCAAGAGCCAAAAAAGTTAAAGGAAGTAAAAAAAGTTAAAAATTCGAGCCCACTGCGACTGGAACCCCTCACCAGCCCTTTGGCCTTTCTCAGCTCCATCGACTGGAGCTCACGGCCAGTCCCGTGACCTCTCAGCTCCACCCCACCTCATGGCCAGTCCCGTGACCTCCCAGCTCCACCCCACCTCATGGCCAGTCCCGTGACCTCTCACGTGACCTCACGCTGAAGCAATGCCTCTCCATCTGCATTCATCCGCCGGCGTGTCTCCGTCCTGTAGGCTCCCACGGCCCATTGCGACACTGACGAGATGCCACTCTCTGAGTGGACCAGCAGACGAGCTGAGAGACCCGGCTTCGGCCCTCGACACTGATCACCCGATGCTATGGGGGGGAGGGGGGGGGGATGGACCCATCGGGCCGCCTACGGTGGCGCCCGGACCCAATCCGACGCCCACGCTTCTCGTGACCAGGCGGACTCTGATGCAATATAGTACGCCGACAGCATATTTATATTGAAAGACTTCGGGAGGAGGGAATAGTAAATAACGTTTGAAAGGCACGACGTTCACTGGATTGTGTTTGATTATAAATGCACCAATATCTTAGCCGTGATATTATCGGTAACAGCTAGTGATGTCAATTACGGAAAATCAGAATACCGATACCAAACCAAATACCAGCCAAAACCATGGGAAAATACCGAAACCAAACCAACCTGGGAACCTGAGGGAAATACCAACTTTTTACCGATTTCTTAGCCTCTTATAGGGGACAGTGGGGCACATTCGTGCATGGGGCACATTCGTTTTCAGCAGTTTATGGGAACACGAGTGACTGCACGAGCTAAAGGTAAATTATGAAAATATGTCTATCATTGCCGCCCTTCGTTCACTGAAGGAGACAACACTGTACCTGATGTCATGCTTGATAAAAACGCAAATTTGTCATATTCGTGGGCTTTCTAAACTTTTCTCATATCATCCATTTTCGTGATCCTGACTCGGAAATGTGGTTTAACTTTTCAAAATTGGGTCCGAAGAAGCACACTCTATTCACGGAACTGCTGCAAACTTGTTTGTTGAAAAAAAGTCATTTTTTCAATAAGAAATTTTGAATTATATTACAAATAGCGTTGTGGGGCAGGTTCGTGCACGCACTGCCTAGGGGCACATTCCTGCATATTTTTTTCGTTTTTGCGATTTATGACTTTATCTGTAGTAGCAACGCTCGCCTGACTCAGTCTCGGCTGCTTCCGACGTCGTGACAAGCAATTCACGTGACCTTGGAGAGGTCACGGAGGCGGGTCGATGGCCGGCGGTTGGCACATTCTTGTTGGTCAGCCCATTCTTTCTACAAATGTTGTGCAATGCATTCTTGTGGAAAGGAATCAAGTAAAATGACCCCCTGCCCATTTCTTTTGGTAAATTTCTGGCAATGCCCGGTAATTCATTTAATTTTGCAGGGTGCACGGAAGCGCCCCACCCCATGCACGAATCTGCCCCATACCTGGGGCAGTTTCGTGCAAACGTTAAGAGTTATTAAAAGTCATTTTTTCTAATAGAAGCGGTAACTTTAGAGGATAAGTTTTAAAGAGGAAAAATATGTGCAATAGTTCCTTTCCATACTACAATCAACAATTTTGCCGTTGCACTAACCAAAGAACAGATATATGGATTTATCCATTTTTTGCACGAATGTGCCCCACTCTCCCCTACATTAGTGAGGGCTTATGATACCAACAAAATACCAAACACATTACGATTGAAATACCAAATACCAAGTTGGTATCGGTTTGGTATCGGTATACCAAAAAGTTGGTATCCGATTGACATCTCTAGTAACAGCTATTGGAGACATTCCTAATACACATCGAGTCAACGGTGAGTTTTGCCCAACACACTCAGCTAACCTGTCATATCACACAGTAGCAGTGTCGCTCCTGGGGACCAAAGCAGCTGAAATATGCACTGTGGTCCAATAGGGCTGAAATATGCAGCAGGGAGGTTGCACGCGTCATTGCCCCGATGTGTGTCGTGGAATGCACGAGTCGGCCCGTGACAGAGGGCCCTGTTGACATTCAGCAGTGACCGTGGCCGTGACATACGGCCGCCGTTTCCGCACGATAAACACCAGTGTACGGCACGAATCAGGCCTGCGCTCAAGGCTGTCATGTGCCCGGCGGCCGGCACTGCAACAGTTCAACGGGATGGCCCATAGATTCAACACAAGCCCTTGTGGTACTCACAACTACTTCAAAAAGGGCATTAGCCATCAGTCTGAACGCTTAACTGGAAAAGTCAAACACTGAACAGACGCATTCATTAGCCGAGCCGCTCGCTGAGCTCGTCTGGAGAGCCCGGGCACAGTAGCGTCGTTCGGCGGCCCGACAGCGACGGATGCTCTCAGTGGGTAGACGGCTGTCGGCTCGCCGTCCCGGTTAAATAATAATGCGCCCGCCCAGCCAGGCCAGGTAACAACAAAGAGCTGAACGGGCGCCAGCCGAGACCTCCAAACACGGCCAAATCGAGCAATTATGCTTTAAACATGCAGCCCTGTCAGACATGCAACAAGCACTAACTGGCGCAATCTTGACTACCGAAATAAATATTGCAAAGAAAATTGTTATGCAGCCCAGTATGGACTGGCACATGTATCGAAATGAATAAATCACATCTAGCATGCGCTTACTCGCCGTGTAACCTAAAACGTATCCACAACAAAGTGAAAACTGCATTGTGCCTGTCGGTAGCTTTCATAAACAATTTATAGATTACATGCGACTATATTTGAACAAAAAAAATGTAACTTAACAAATCACTGAAAATACAAAACTGCGTAACACTTTAACATGCTTAAAAATGTTCCATAAACGGATGATAAAACTGATTGAGAGCCATTCTAAAAAAAAAATTGTTAGAGAGTCACCATGCGACAACTAACTTCACAAACCCATGGATCATCCTCAGAGGCGCCAAGCGCAGCAGCAATAAAAATGGGGTGTAATACATCAACAAATAAATAACATTATTGTCCAGTTTCCCACCGTATCAAATATAAAACAAATCAATCATATCCAGATAAAACCAACTGCCGGACAAGAGCCACGTCATTATCAAGCGGCCTGGCCTCGGAGACGCCGCCAAATCGCTGAACCCAGCTCGCAAGGCGGATAGATGTTTAATTGAAAATTATGCCGGATTGACAAGTCGCGGCGTTTCAATTGGCATGCCGTTAATAAACTAAATTAAACCGAACAGAACCAGTTATTCACCTACCCCGTAGTTTATTGACGGCTAACAACAGCAATACTGCTTAACCCGCGACCGCCTGGGGGGGGGGGGGTCGGATCCGACCCCCCCCCCTCCGTTTTTCTTGAATAACTCATGAACCGCTTGCGCTTTCAACTTGAAACTTGGCATACCTTCTCCCCCATCAATGTGACGTCTCCTGTGCAATTTTTAAGAAAAAAATTCAAATTTTTTTGAGATATATTGATTTTAGTGACGTAACTACATGGCGTTTTCAGTCAAAAAATGGTAAATGTTTAAAAAATCGCCAAAAATCGAGGTTTCAAGCAAATTGCAAATTAAGGACATGAAAAGACGCAGCTCAACGAGTTCTTAAAATGGCTATCTCGGATTTTCCATAAAATGCGTTTTTCACCCCTAAAAATTCAAAAAACTATATTTTTAGAAAACAGCTAATAAAATCCAAAATTTTGAGAATTTCCAAAAAAAAAACGGAATATATGTTATAGAGCTCTATTAGAACATTAGATGTCCCAAATTTCAACTTTCTATCTTGATTTTTGACCCCCAAATTGTAAAAAATAGCTCCAACATGCATAGGGCATGGTGACGTCATAAGCATTTTCGCGAATTAGAGGCACTTCTGAACATTGCATGTGAAAACAAATGGCACCACTAGATTCCTGGGACAAAGCTCGTCTAGAAAAGTGCATTTTCATGTCAAAAATAATAAGTTGAAAAATTGACTTTTTTCTTAGCCCTCGTTTAGTTATGTATGGTATAAACGATTTTTTATGCTTTCAATGCACACTTATCACCAGCACAGTGACTTGGGGTCACATATAACCATTACCATCGGATTTGGCGTGAAAAATAAGCCATAAAACATGTGTCGCACGCCCATGTAGCAGAAAGTGAAAACCGTGACCTTTCGTGACCTGACCTGACCTTGACCCGTACTTAGTATGACCACTATACGCACATGGTACCTTCACTAGGTCTTTGAGGTCATTTGTGGTGAGTTTCGAGCAGCAGCTATCGATTCCGCTGTCCGTAAGCCTAATCATGCAAAACCCCTGAATTTGACCTTTGACCTGACCTTGACCCGAAAGTTGACCTCAATCTTAAAATCTTAAGAGTGCTTTGGGAAGGTCTCGTAGAGACCTTTCGAACGCCGCCTCGCGGGGCTCGATACGACCATTGGTTCTCGAGATAACAGGGGGGGGTCGGATCCGACCCCCCCCCCCCCCCAGGCTGTCGTGGGTACGGAAATAGCCCAGGCGGTGCCGGGTTAAAAATAAAAAAGATTCATGTTTTGACACCGAATTCCAGATTTATTTGCGGAGTAATCCCTTCAACTACCGAAACCCAACCACTCGGCCGCGCCAGCCCGGACCGGCGCGGCGGCCGCTGCTGAACCGCGGCAGAGTGCAGCTCTATATCAGTGCCCAAATCCGCGCCCGGGCCCATTCGTCAGGCAACGATGGCGCGCCGCTGGCCGCAGCAACTTTGGAGCACGCCCAGTCGTCTATCAGGCAGGGCGAGCGGCCGCTGGCGCCGGCACGGCAGACCTGCCAGCCAGGCGAGCCGCCATGGACCGCGCCGAGCATGGCACACGAAACCATCATATCAGTAGTACGCTGATGACATTGAGAAGCGCCGGATGCTTTTATTTATACATAGCAGAAAGAAGCAGATTTCCTGAAAAAACGCAAGATTTTCTTACCTCTATGTTTCTGCGCATCGTACTCGTCTGCCTAAACTGCCATCAACTAGGCTTCATCCATGCGTGCTAACAATCCACCGTCCAAACGAACTCAGGGCACCGTGAGTCGGTCACATCCGATCAGGAGAGTACACCTTTCCCCCACCCATCCCTCCTGCGGCCGCCCCCGCGCTCAATCACAGTCGGCCGACGGCGGTCACTGATAGCATACAGTCACAGCCCGCGCCGCCTCAATGGTGATCCCGTCATTGCCGCCGTCGGCGCACCGCGGCCCATTCCGGCGCACAGCGGCCATTCCGGCGCGGGCCCGGTTCCATTGTAAGCCGCACTGGTCACGGCGGAGGCGGTGGACCCGCCGAGCGAATGATGTCGCCTCTGTGCAATCACGGCGGCCGGGGTGGGGCAGGGGTGGGATGGGCGGGGGTGGGTTGGAGAGGCAGAGGGTCAGGAGAGGGGAGGCGGAGACGAGGTCTGGCCCTGGGCACGGTGACTGTGATGGATGGTGATACTGTGGAGGCACGGTAAAACACTTTTTTATTTTGGAAAGAATTTGCATGCAAAGTACATACCCTCACACCTTTTACTCGGTCCACCATCACCATGCGTTATAAGTATAACAACTCCTGTCGGTCACAAAATGACATCAATGATAAAGGAAAATGCCAATCATGAGTAACCAGTAACAGCATCTAAAAATTATAATTATCAGTCCAACTGCTCCAGACCTTCACATCCCAGCTCATATCAATGTCTCGGTGCGCAATGCGTAACTCTGACCTGTCCTGACCCACTTAGCCCTGAGGCGACCCACCGACCGGGCCTCCGGCGTACCCGCTGACATGACCCCCCCCCCCCCCCCCCCGGTGTCTGCAGACGAGCGGTATCGGACGCTGTGGAGGACATTAATACCACATCAGCCGTCAAAGAGGACGTTTTAATCGGCTGTAACTGTCTCAGGCCGGGGCGAGGTAGGGCAGGATAGAGCGGGCCGGGGTGAACAGGGGTTAGTCTAGGTCACGGCTGTGGGGTAGAAGTATTATAACGAGAAAAAATGCAGTCTGTCTTGTCCAACAGTCCTCCAGGTTGATAGAAAAGAAAAAAACTAAAATCTGTTCATCTGAAAATAGTTTATCCATAACTTAGGAGTTTGAGGGTTTTCCACCTCGCCCGCACTGCTTGTCAGCTCTGAGACCGCCACCACTACCCAAAAGTCAAACGGAGCCACCAACCCGAAGGTCAGCAGACAACACGTAAGTACGGGTACCTCTCAACTCGGACTCTCACACCAATACCTCAGAACTCCCTTGTTACTCACACTAAAGGCTCATAGGTCAACTCCCACTTACACCAGCGGCTCATAGCTCCGCTCCCAGTGGGAGCGGTGACCGGTGTGGGTGGGAGCCTCCCACCCACACCGGAGTGGCTCCCATCCCGATCTCCACCGCCAGACAGGCCCACACTCCTCTCAAAACTGGCCCTGACCTCACGTTTCGAGCTGAATCGATGCTGGTTCGACCATCACCAGAGAGATACGATGGCGTGGTCGGTCCGTGGGTCGTTACGAGATGGATAGATATAGCCACATGAGTTATCCTCTAGCACTCAGAAGGCACGTCAGCTCGTAAATACGACAGAAAACCGACTCAAGTATTCAAGACGGGTAAACAATGTTGAGCGAGAGACAACGGATGCCTTTAGTGTCAACATAGCCGCGGATCAGATGTTGACAGAGGGTGTCCCTTTATGCAGCCGGCGCGGCGGCGGCAGTCGCGGGTCCGTCCGACCGGCGCTCTGCCCCGCCCCGGGCGCTGAGCGCGGACCGTGCCCCAGTCGGAAACCGTTGCGTATAGATGAGTCGGCCGGCGGACATCGGCAGTCGGCGGGGCGCTGATGGTGAGTCCGAGGTGAATGTCAATCGGCGGCCCTCACCTTCGGCGGGCGCGGCGCCGCCGGACGCCAGCTTTACGACGACAGCCCACCGAGCCCTGCTAATTTACCGCCCGCTATGAAACATAAGCCACCAGTAATTTATCTAACGAAGAGTCCGGACCATACGAGGCCCGTTCATTTCCATGTGTGCTCGGAAGATGCTGGAGATTGCAGAATCGCATTAGCGGCCGTCGGCGCATTTCGCGGTCTATTTTCGAGCCTCCTACCGCCCCGGCCTCCCACCCGGGGGACTAAGCTCTCTGACTGTCTCAGCCCCCCCCCCCCGCCCGGCCCGGTCCTGACACGTGCCGTTCGCAGCACGCGGGGGCTCTATTGGCCACACCGGTGGCACACAGCGCGCAGTTCCAATGTCCATCCTTCAGCTCAATGAGCTTCTCCTACCGTTAGAGACGGACTGCGCCAGCTCGGATCGGACCGGGACGAGTCAGGACGGTCGCCGCCACGCCGCGCGCCACAATTGCCGTCTCAGGCGCGCCGTTATCGCCGCCAATGGCTCATCGGCCCCAGAGGTTCGGCCGACTAATGGCGCTGCGGGACTAACTGCTCATGGGTGTGAGACCAAACGAGAGACGTCAGGCCGCGCCGGGGAGGGTGGAGGTATGTAGGTGGGAAACCGGGAGAAGCTGTGCATTCAGTGCAGTGTGCACGGACCGCAGCCGCACCGTTAAGTGAACAGACCAGCCTCTCGGGGTAGTGGCACAATTTAAATGTGTGGGTACTCTGAAGTGTTTATGATTGGCAGAGCTGACGGGGGGCGCCCGCCGCCGGGTCGAGCCATTGCGACCACGCTGACGTGGTGTCAAACTGGCGGAGTTGACAGGGGGTCTCCGGTCGAGCGAACGAAACCCCGTCGAACTGACGCACTGTCAAACTGACCCGACGCCCAGGGTCACATTGACGTGGTGTGGGACAGTACGGAATTTAGATGCCACTCTCACTGATTAATTGCACCATTATCAATCAATCCGAAATCAGACGGTGACATAACGTCCCATGGAAGTTCTTTTGAAACCAACAGAAGCTGTATTAGTTTGCTACTGCTTGCCTCTCTTGTTCAAATTTTCACCTTGCATTTTATTTGAATGACCAGCATTGCGAACGAAGAGAAATAAAGGCTTAATGGCGAGCAGAAGTAGTCAGTAACAATGGTAAAGACCGTAACTCTGGCGTTCAATTCCACCCTGACCAGGCCGTTCCATTTAATTTCGTTCCACTTCATTCCCTGCCGACCATTCGGCCGACACTCTCCGACCCATTTCTGCGGCGGCGCCACAATAACATCCCATTCTCGTCCTGTCGCACCTCTTCGCCACTCTGCCCCTCCCCCCCCCCCCGTCAAAGGGGGCACTCACCTGGCAGCTCGGCGAAGTGGATCTCTCTCAGCGCCAGAAACTCTTCCTCCGGGGCGATATCGGCCGCGCCGAACGCATCGCCCTCCGGCCAGACCTCCCTGTCGGACAGACAGCAGACAGCTCAGCCAGGGCGCGAGGCTCAGCAGACAACAGACAGCTCAGCCGAGACAACACACGGCTTAGCGCCGCCGGACGGGCGACTTAGCGCGGCTCTGCGGGGCTTTGGCCGAGAGCTGCGACTCGAGGCCTGTCGTGCAGCCCGTCCGCTGACAATCTGGTCGACGACGGAGATGGATGTCGCGCTCGGGTGACGGCGGAGCTCACATTAACAGCATTTGGGCGCATCAACCGAGTAACCCTCCACACATACTTTACGTCGTAGCTGCATCAAACCACCCCTGAGGATGAGATGTTTGAGTAAAAAACAGCGAAGGCTTATAAAGCGAGCAGGCGTCCCTTTACTACCGACCACTAACCGTTAGTAGCCACCATTTCGGTTCGGAGCTGTCGTAAAATCGCAGCGCTCTCGACCTGACGCGGCCACCCCTCCTCACGAGCGACGGCCAGCCAATCCTCTGAGGCGCAGCGCGCATAGAAACGGCCGCAGCCCGGCCGCCCTCACGTTTTATCTGCGAGGGTGTAAAGCGGCGGCGATTTTCACGCGTCCCCCGGGCCAGACAGCCGGCTTGTGCCGCCGAGTGCTGATTGCATAAGCGCCTCTTCCAATATCTGCCCGAGTGCGACCCGGCAGCGGAAGGGGGAAGCGCCGGCTCACAGCAGCCCAGCGCGACACCGCCATCAACCTCATAAAGCTCGTATTCCTTCCGAAACAAAAAAGCGAGATAAAACGCACTAAGCGGATGCCTCCTTGATTAAATGTGCGCTGACATCAGACACGCCGGTACAGCTCGAACCCTTTGAAGATTCCAAAACAACAACTTGTGCGTCTTATAAGTTTGAAAAACCCGGGGAAAATTAAAAAAGGTTCAAAGGCTGGATCACAAGTACAGCAAACGTATCCATAAGCAATTAACCCGCGCCGGGCCGGTGCTCTGAGATTCCGCGCCGGGCCGGGGGGGGGGGGGGTGTCTGAACACCCCCCCCCCCCTCTAACTCGGCTCCTGGGCCACGTAGCGACACGCGGTAAGCGGCAATCGAAAGAACGTCCAAAATAAGGACGAAAACACTTCGGTCATTTTTTGGGTCAGGTCAAAGGTCAGGTCACCAGAGGTCACCAAAGGTCAAATGTTCACTATTTCAACATTTTGAAAACTGCCAACGGCTATCTCGGGAACCGATAGAGCTACAGCGCCGCGGAAAAGCGCAATCGATAGCCCTTTTACAGACCTTTCTGAGTAATGTTCTCAGATTTGACCTCAGGTCAACGGTTTAGCCTCCAGAGGGCAAAAACTCCAAAAATATCCGTTTTTACGAAAAACGTTTTTTCGGCAATAACTTTTGACTCAAAAGAGCCATGACATTACCTTTGCCACCATCGTGTTCCTCTCGTCGAGACGCGTCGAATGAACTATAATTTGACCTTGAAAGGTCAACTTGAAAATTTGACCTCAGGTCAAGGTCATGACCTTACCGGAAAAGGTCATGTTGCATATCAGTCGATCCGCAACGTCGAGCCGAACACATCTAAGGCGTTTTCAGCGCTCTAGCACGTCTCTATCAGAAGTTATTAGCGAAAAACTGTTAGATTCTGTTCGTGACCTGAGATGACCTCGGGGACCTAACGAGGGGTCACAGTTGCCATTTTCCGGTTCAGTGTGTCCATTTTATCTACATCTCGATGTTTGAGAGTGTCTAGAATAGTGTTCGTGCAAAACAGACGCTTTTCAATTTTCTCCCATTGACTTAAAATGGAGAGGTCGCAAAATTGACCTGACCTTAGGTCACCGATATCAAAATTCCGAGATATACATTTTATAGATAATGTTGCTCTAATCAATAGCTGAAAGTTTCAAGGCAATCCATCAATCGGTGTAGCTATGACGAGCATTCTTATTTTTTCTGAGGTGAGGTCACTTGGCGTGACCTGGTGACCTACCTGACCTAAGGCGACCTGGGTCTGAAATTTTCACAACATGTGCGGAAAAGATGCACGAACAGGTGTGCCAAAAACTTTTGAGATATCTGCGAAAAACCGCAGGGGGGGGTGTTCAAACACCCCCCCCCCCCCCGGCCCGGCGCGGGTTAAGAGAGACACATCTGAAAGACCTGGGGCGCTAGGCTGAATGCAATGAGCGGTACCGAGAGAAAACAGACCTTCCAGGGAAAATCTTATCTTCAATCCTTTATATGGTATGAAAATCACAAAGCAGCACCGAAATTGCATCTATAAAGCCTAAAACTGAAAAAGCAACTGAAAAAGCAATAGGTGAACAGCTGCTCTAACACACTTTCACATACACATGAATAAATATAAAATATCCCGCCTGTTTACAGATACCGAACCGCCTACCACCTACTACCAGTACAGATAATACCAGGTTCAGCCAAGCCAAGTCCCAGTAGACGGCGGAGCGCGGTCAGGGGTCAGAGTTCAGAGTGCAGTCAGGGGTCGGAGTGTGGTCGGGGGAGCGGTGCTCGGCCAGGAGTCACCCCCTCCCTCTCGATCGCAGGGCGCCGATCGGCCGTCCGATAGACAGGCGCGCCGATGGGTTCGAGCCGACCGGGCCAATGACGCCATCCGGTGCGGAATGTCCCATCAGCGGGCCGGCCGCGGCCATCAGCCGGAGCCGCGCCGCGCCGAGATTGCCACCGCCGCGCCACTAACGCCGCGCCGTCCCCGTCCGCCGCCCGTGGGAGTCGGTGACGTCATCGGACCGCACCTGAGACCAGTGACGTCAGCCAACACTGACCAGCGCTCAGCGGCTACAGGTGCGCTAATTCACCAACCATTAACGTCATTGAGGACCGGCTGGAGCATTGATTCGACGCGTTCGATGAGCAACATACGGCATGGGATTTTACACTGAGCCAAGTCAGATTTCTCCAGCAATCCATCCTGCCACACCACACTGCACTGATCGAAGTGGAGCTGATCCGCTTTTCCCGTACCTGACCATATCTGAGAAGCGCACGCTCCATTAGAACTGAGTTCTGAGTTCCCACACGTCATCTGCAGCGGGGGAGTTCGGAATCGCGTCAGACCGTTGTCAGACAGCGCCCACAGCACCGCGCCGGCCGGCGGAGCGCCTCAGAGAGCCCTGTCCGAGCCGACGGCCGACAGCGTAAAAATCAAATTAGCCGGGCTCGTAACGCGGTTAGACGGCGCAAACTCGGCCGCCGCCGGACCATTCGAGCAGCGCCGGCCGCTCCACAGTGTAAAAGTCTCTGAAAGGAGCTTAACTATGACGAACTTCGAACTCACCCAGGTGAAAGATCCGGTGAGACAAAAATAAGATAGGGACCTTTAAAGTCAAATACAACAAAGTTTAAACTTAAAGCGTCCAAGTTCAAAGCACAGTGAACCACCAAAGAAAAACAATGCCATTGACTAGCACTCTGTATAAAAGAGCGCACTTCGGTATTCTTCAGTGTTTGGAGGCGACTGCTGAAGAACGGCCCAGCTGTGCACCGCGGACACTGATTCTGCCAATAGCGGGCGGCGCGTGGTCCAGAGGCGCAGCGGCCGGACGTCCATACGTGACCGCCCGCCATACGTACCGACAATCGCCGCTCGTACCGGGCCATACGGACGCACTCGGAACGGGGACGACCCGGTCCGCTAGCATGGTGGTGTTCGGTGGCACCAGCTCATATTTAGATCCCTAGGCAATGGGGCCAAGGTCACACTTTATACTCTGGTCAGTGCCACGAAAAAATGGGGATGAATTTGCAACTTTAATAACTCTGAACTGCATTTCCCTTAAATTCTTCGGTAAGCAAGCGCGATTCAGAAGTCATTCACCGTACAACAAGCAGAAAAAGTACAATATCCGTCATCCGTCTTGCCGTCCACTTCTGGTCAGCCAACAGCGATCGTGACCGATTGGTTGCCGGCCCAGCGGTGGCCGGATCCGCTCGCCCGGCCAGAGCCGGCGGGGGTCAGAAATCCCCCGGCCCCGCACGCGACAGCTGTCACGCTCGACACGTCGCCATCGGGGGAATCGGGTACGGCGCCGGGTACACCGCCGGTCGCGCGCCGGTTAATGCTGCAGCGAGCGGTTAGCACAGAGATCCCCGCGGACCCAGCGCGAACGTGTCCTCGCTCCGTGCAGTGGCTTCGTGCAGACTTTTATCTCAGAGCCTGCCGACCGTCCAGGTCTGGCACACCAGTTCCTGGCACTGCGCTGCAGCTGGCCAAACTCCCGGCTCCACCATCAACTCGAGTTCGTCCGCCGAGTTCATTTAGTTCCAGTGATTAGTCGGCTCACTCGGCGCCGCGCTCCGGCCAATTGCACAGGTGTGGTTTACGGCGCCCGCCGCTCGCCGTACGGTCATTAGGTGGCCGGCCGGCTCCAGACTAATTGTCCGACAAGGCCGCTGTAACACGGACCTAATTCAGCGGCCGTGGCACCATGAGGGCCAGTCCGCAGTAAATGCCTAGTGCCCGATCAAGTCCACCGCACCTGCGCAGTGTTTAAACTACCCGGATTCATAGGGCCGGATTATTGCAGCCACTCAGTCTGCCAGTGTGGGTTCACAGAGACTGTTTGCGCGCTGTATCGCTCACCTGGCCGCCCTCAGCAGAGCCAGCGCGTCGATCGGCTCTCCGGCCCTCAGATGGTCCTGAATGCGCAGCATCGCGTCCGTCCTGTGGGAGAGACAAATCGCCCAACGTCACTCGGGAACACAAGTCAGCGATCAGAGCACAAGTGCACGCTAAATACAGCAGGTAAAACATCATTGAAGAGCTGATATTTCAAGTAGACAGCACAGAGAACAGCCAACATCGCAGACCCGTCTCAGGAAGGAATTTCTCACAGGTATTCCCACCACTTTGCGCTACCCGCAGCCAGCTCGCAGCAGCTCCTATTTAGAGCCGGCGCCGCTCACGAGCCGTCGACCGCCGCTCGGCCGCCGGCACGTGCCGCTGCGGCGCTCTCCAGTCTCACCGTCAGCCCACATATTCCGATCCACCCCTGAGTGGTGCCATCAGTCGGCCGCCGCAGCCGCCGGAATCCGGCCCGATTCACCATGAGACCGCCTGTCCGTCCCCTCGGACGGTGGGGGAGGGTTCAGGGCGTCTGGGAGAGCTCGGCAGCTCAGCCGCGGCGCACGGCGCCGGGATATCGCCGCTGAGGTCAGCAGTAAACGGAGAGCTTGTGACTGATGGTCAGGCGCTGCGACGGCGGCAGAGGCGGCGGCGGCGGCGGCGGTGGTTTTATCAGTGGATGGCGGCGGGGTTCGGGTCTTGGTGGCAGTCGTGATGACCATGGTGATAGAGGTGGGCGCAATGATGAGTTTATATCGACGCATACGATGAAGCAGTGGTGAGAACTGAGGAGCAATGTTGAGCAGCGAAGTGAGTTGACTCGGGTAATCAGCTATGCCAAAATGTCTCGACAGAAATCCATATTAGATGTTACATTGTCGCATACTAAATTGCATATCATATGGTATAATTGTCAATTATAGTCGGTGAACTAAACCTTGACATTCTTAGCCGGGCTGGAGGGCCAATTAAAATTAATGGCCTTCTGCTGTCGCCTGAATGACGTCATTAAACTTTCGGCTGTGGGATGGGCTGTACTTCAGTTTAATGGCTGAAGCTAAAAATAGCATTGATAATTGATATGAGCAATCCGATTAATAAACCTTGCCAGATTCCTATCTGAAATCGAACAAACATGCACAGTATAGCTAGAAAATGAATCGGACATTTTCTGGCATTTTGTAATTCAACAGTAGGACATTGCAACGTAGAGCCGGCGGAATTACGAACTATGATTCAGGCGGCATGCTACGCAGTCGTCGGCTCACAATTTAGCGAACCGGCGTCTAATTCGGTCGCTGGTCGGATCTACAGAGGCGTAATTCAGTTAGGCGGTGTTCGCACTCGAAGAAAGCTGGCCGGAGTTTAACAAAGGCCGGTCACCGCTGCGGCGCCGCTGCGTGACTGTGGGGGAGGGCAGGCGCTTCTGGGGTCAGCAGGGTAGGGCATGCAGGCGATTTTGTGTCGGAAAGGGATTGAATAAGACACGTCCTCCCAAAACGTAATGGGGCTTATCGACTACCCAACACTATTAGCCCCACGGCCCACCGCTAGCCACCTAGAGCCCACCGTCCACCATCAGCCGCCCACTGACTCCCATGACGAACGCCGCACAAGGCCGCCCTGAGGGTTCCCAGTGAATGGTCACGTACTGTTGCGGCGTCCCTTCCGGCCGGTGGACAGCTGATGGCAGCACGTGCCACCGAGAACACAGTTTAATTTCATAATTTCAACTGTCACACATGAGCAGAATGAAACAGTTGAAAGCAATGTCGTTGGGAAAACGGGGCGGACGGAACCGGAAACATTTACTTCCGCAGAACTTTAAGTGGTACTGCCTGGAATATATTCGAAACAGAAGGGCAACGGAATAAGCAGGACTCGTAAAGTTCGTTCATTTGTCTCCGGGCCAGCGAAATAAATTTTGCTGTTAGGAAGGAGCGTCTCAAAGTTATTGTATTTCAGCCCTCGGGAAGAAATGTGAGATGTCGTCTCTTTTGTCAGTCGGAGGTAAGGTTTCTACTAACGTCCTGCTGCTGTCGGTGGCAGGTGGACAGCTATCGAACCTGAACTAGCCAGAGCAAACGAGCTGTGATTGCATCTCTCATTGCTGCTTTGTTGAGTAAACGTTGCTGATGACAACCCATCAACACCGTGCCTGTTACGTACCATCAACCCTGTCTGTTTTGTAGCGGACCGCTCACCTCTGATCCTGCACGGGCACCTCGCTGGCCGCGTCGAACGGCCGCACGTCCTCGGGCAGCTGGCGCTCGGCCTGGATGGCCGCGGACAGCTCGTCACTGAGCGCGTCCCAGGTCAGCTCCGGGTCCGGGGGAGGGGGCGCGCCGGCCGGCCCGCCGCCCGGACCGCCTGGGGGACACACAGCCGGCCGTCAGTCCGGAGAACGGGAGAACGGCGGAAATACAAATCCGGCAAATGTGGGCATATCAAACGCGAACGTAGGTAACAATGAAAGAGAACAAACAATCATGAGCGGGGTTTGAAACAGAGGAAGGAGGGATACGACAGATCTTAGAGGATGGCAGCGGCGAAACTGTGCTATAACTGGAGACGTTCAAAGAAGCGATTGGTTTGGAGGAGCAAATGACCACACAGCCATATCGATCCTGATCGCCTTGGCAATCGTCCAAACACAGACAGCATACGAAATTATGTGAAGCCGCTTTCTGGTCTAACAATAGCCCTGCGGACGAAATTAGTATTTAGTAACTCAAAAAGGCAGAATCGTTGTCATGTTCAAATCCTTCACTGATAGAAGACTGTCATATTTGGCAGTAGACCCAAAACCAATAAAGCATCAATTGACTGGAGAAAATGTAAATACAGCAGCGGTCACACTCGATATCTGAAGCAATATCGTTTGATCGCACACACATAAAGCTCAGATCCCATGGGTGTCGTCGGCGAACATAAGGCCGCCGCCGACGGAAAGCGGCCACTAAATCCACAGCGGAGACATATCGCTGTGTTCGTGCGGACATTATCGGGACGCTCGGGAACATAACTCCTCCGGGAGTCACTCATCAGCAAATGTGTGCGTAGCGTCAGTGCGTGATTTGTGTCCGGAGTTGGCGCTTTTCATGGCTGAGAGCTGCATGGCTTATCTCGATGAAAACGATAAAACTTCAATGACTGCGGGGAATGTATAAAGCACAGGCTGGGCCGATTCTCATTGGTGATGATGCCCACTGCCTTGGACATTCCAACAGACAATGAACAAACTCCAGGCAAACGACATTTCTCATCCACGCATGACATCGCTCGCGTTTTGTGCTAAAGCACTTGAAAATACACAAAAAGCGTACGATAAGCCAGCAGAGACGCTGCGAATACAAATCAACCAGGGTGTTTGTCCAAAATATTTCCATTTCCGTAGCGATCGTTCAGTAGAAAATAATCATGCTTGCACTTCTCACCGGCATTTGTGCGCTTGGTCTTCTTCTTTTTGGCCTTGGCCTTCTGCTTGACGACGATCCTGCCGCCGCCGGAGAAACGCTCCAGCAGCCGGATGAAGACGTGCGTCGTCTCCACCAGGTCAGTCAGAAAGTTCCTGTGGGAGCGCACAGAGGACTCAGTTAAAGCAGCGCCGAAATATACGGCCGACCATCCATCATGAATGGACCCGGGGGGCCACAGCAAACTTCCAAAGAACACACGGAGCGAACGTGGAATATAAATGATGAATGATTGGTAACAGAATGTACTTCCTGAAAGGAGAGCGGTCAAAACAATACCGTAAGGAAAGCAATACCAACCGAGACCGTACCCCCAGAGAATGTTTTGGTTCTCCGGTGCTAAGAAGGCTTTCAAACAATTCAATTGGAAGTGAATCGAAAGAAATAGAGGAAATCTGGAACTACCATCCGCATAAGGCAATCGCATGAAAGCGAGCGAATTTCGCACAAGAAAGCCCAAAGACGGTTTTTGAATCAACCCAATCACGTTAAGAGATTGAAAAACGGCCATAGCCGATCGACTCAACTCAATCCAACCATGTAGCACATTGCGAGACCGATCGGATAGCGTTCCGAGGGGGCGAGGCGGGGGAGAGGGAGAGGGAGGGAACAGCGTGGCATAGGGACGGGACAGATGGAAGCCGGACGGGTGCATATTGAACCGGTAATCGAAACGTTTGATTGCACTTCCCGGTGGGACTGGCGCTCCCGATTGCTTTCATTTCATCCGCGGGACAGAGCGACGTTGGGTTGAAAAACAGTTTCAGTGAGGGCCGGCAGCCGGCGGAGCTGCCCCCCCCCCCCTCTCCCGTGGGTCGGTCGGTGGGGGACGCCCCCCCCCCCGGACCGGACGGTCGGTGACGGCCCCCTCGGCGGCTGACGCACGCTCTCTGATCGGGGGCGACGTTGGCAAATTGCCGCTGCGGGGCGTCCCAGCGGGGCCGGACAGGTGCCGCCGACAGGGGCGCGATTAGAGCCGGAATGTCAGCGTTACCGGCCTCCATCCGGCAGCGGGAGCTAGGAGACGGAACCAGCCGAGCACGGGAAACACACTCACCGCAGGCGATACAAACTTAGGGCTAAAAATATCACCTAATTCACAAGTTTCAGGCAACGAAAGAACTTAACGATGACGCCTTATGTAACCGCGAGGCCACAGAATCTATATTTAAATCTCTAATCGAATGTGCTTGTGCATATACTTCAAAACCATATTTCAAATGCATTTTACACATAGGATTTAGTGAGAACATCGAGATAAACTTGAGGCAAGTTATTTCCTACAGCCATTTAAGCGAGCGACTGCGGCGAATTTCACCGTGAAACAGCATAAACACGACGGCACAAGTCCGACTCATAACGCATCAAGTCTCCCCACTCTCATCTGCATAACAGAAGACCGGCTGAGCGGAGCTCCCCATTCTAGCCGATGTCTGGTAGACATTCTGGGGGCCCAACATGGCTGAGCGTCTTCCGAGAGCACTGCGCAGTCGCCGGTGTTTGTGCCGTCCTCTGACAGACATCCCTCTCGGAAAACACTTCCGCTCCGGCACAGCGAGGGCGAGATCGCTCCAAAGCCCTCTCCATTCCACCTTCCACTTTCCCTCCGCTCCCGATCGAGGGGGAGGGACGGGTGACGGCAAACACGCTCGCCTCTTATTCTCGTCCTCTCCCCGGTCGTAATTTAGAGCGTCTCGAAGACGTCGCTCCGCCACCAATCGCGCCTACTAACGACGCCATCCAATTCCATGCAAGTTAGGCGTGGCACACGCAATTTATGGCGGCGTTATTGGGATCAGAGGGGCATCTTATTACGAAACCCGCACCCCTATGGCGACGCACGACTCGCCGATCCATCTCCCCGTATCCGAACTGTCGACATCGGGCGCCAAAGATGCCGAAACTGCACCTCGAGCCCTCTGCATGACGGCCCCAGCGCGACAACAGGCCACATCTGTGAATTATGGCTCTAAATGCGAATCCACTGGCGTTTGCTTGGAGAAATACATATTCCATGTTGATCGGTTGATAACTATCGCTAACATCAAAGCAAGTAAAGGAGTCGGCATCGTAAGGGCTTTGGCTGAAGTCTTTGTTTTATACTTTTGTCCCGTTTTCTAGCAGCTACAGACACTGTCTCGTATCGGCAGAGGAGAGTCCATGTCAGCACACGTCTGACGCTCGTAACACACGTCCCAGACGTCCCCAGGACAGCCGGCCAGGGCGGTCACTGAGCCGCAGCGGTCGCGGGGAGGCACGTCTCTCGGAACGCCGTGACACAGCGTCTCCGCTCGGACCGGGGTCTATGAGCGGAGCAGCGGTGAATATAAATGTCGCCCCGTCCGCCGCACGAAGTCCAGGCGACGGTCAATTAGTCAGCTAACTGCAGCTACGTGACAGCCCTCGGCGGACTGTAGGACGACAAAGAAAATACTCAATGGTTCTCGGTGGAGACGTGTCAGCGATGTCCTGGCCAAAAAGTAGATAAATAATATTCACAGGCAAACCACGTTTCCCGGTATAATTTCTAGCACATGTTTTCACAACCTGTATGCATATCAGGAGAGAGAAAATAACCCCAGCCGACGGCAGCATTGACGTCAGGCCCATTCATGTGAGCCGCGGCTCGGTAAACCACGTCACCTCAGCACATCGTGCGGCGGCGTCGGCGGACGAATCCCACCAAGTGGCAGCCGCCAGAGGGGCCTCCTGCGATCTCGGGAGAGCCATTTGGACGTGCGAAGCCGTAAACAGAGCGGCTCCGGCCGACCGCGCGCTAGTCTAATTAATTATACAGCTGATGAGCGTACGGGAGGGGCGGTAAAAAGCAGAGACGGGCCACGAGACCAAATCAGTGCGCACGTGAGGACGTGTATGATGATTGATGACCAAAGAGAGAGAGAGAGAGAGAGAGAGAGAAATCTACCCGCCTGAATCAGCACCCGTCACTACAGGCAAGTCCGAGGGATTGGAAGAAATGCCAATAATCAATTTATAACTAACTGAGCGCAGTACATTATGGCCGTCTGATATCCAATGCCACAGACAAATAGAATGTGTTCTCGGCTGTTCAAGCATGGTCAGTACACACCTGCTCATTTTGATGGGGTCGTACTTGCAGAGCAGCACGTACAGCAGCTCCCGGTACTCGGGCATGTAGAAGAGGTTCGATTTGAGCACCTTGGCGGCGTCACGGACACTCTCGTCACGAACCGAGTCCATGTGCTGGATGGTAAACAGCAACTCCTGGGGGGGGGGGGGGGGGAAGCAATAGCAGCGTGGCAGACAAGATAGATGACATTTGTTTGGGCATTATATGTAGCTTGAAACTAAATCGTTATTTATGAATAGTAATTGATGAAAAGTAAGTACGCGTAAATACGTCTTTGTAAGTACACGTAAAAAGTAAATACGTCTTTGTTTAAGTGCCGTACAGTGTACGCCCCATGAGCACCCCTCCCAATATCCGCGCCACCATACCTGATAGGCCCTGAGCGCCAGGTGGGCGCGCTTGGACCAGATACGGATCTTGCGCTTTTCGACGGTCATCATCTCCAGGTAGGACTCCATCTGTGTCTGCAGGTAGTGGAACATGGACACCGACAGCGTCTCCCTGCCGAGGGGCGGCCGGTGGTCAGTAGAGGAGGCGGAGGGTGGCTGTCGTGACAAATAAAGGAGGGGTTATTAGGACTGAGGGGCACAGTGACTGTCAGACGCCACACACGGTTCAGCACATATTCTAAGGTTCAGCACAGATTCTAGTCAGCGACTAGTTACACATTGCCGTAATTGCATCAGGCTCGCCTTCCTCCAGTGTGCTACTCGATAACGTTTGTCCACACCAGCTGTATGAACTTGTGGTCGAAATCAAGTAACCTAAAATGGCAGAGCAGGGAAGTGACAGATAACAGTCACTGACGCAGAGTGCAGAAAAGTTGCGTCAGCTCAGAGCAAGCAGAAGTAAGCACCAGTTAATAGCGAAACTCACGTGATGCGTCCCAGCTTGAAGCTGCCGTTGTACCGGTTGAACTCCATGAAGAACTTTACAGCCCACATGTAGTACGACTCGTCGTTGGCCTGAGCCTTGGCCCGCGCCAGGTCATCCTGCAATAAAGCATAGTTTTATTAACCAAGTAGCTCTTACGACATAGTAAAGAGGCCTGCTGGAGTGCTACACAAACAATCTCAAGTGCATTTCACCAAGACGGGAGGACAACCCAAACTGATTGAGTTGTCCCTGCTGCCGTGCAAAGTCAAAAACCCCTACGTCGACTTTTCCCGGTAAATTTAATTTTGCAGGAGAGCCATTTTTCGTTTAGGTGCATATGTAAATGATGGATCTGTTTGAAACTTATATCAGGGGAAGTGAAATTACAATTGCTTATAGGATCCAGTTGGATTTAACACAATTCATTATATATTTTGAAATATCTTTAATATTGGGTTCTACCAGACCGATTTTCAACAAGCATTTCAAGTCAAAAGCCAACACGTCTCCAGAAGCTGTCAAAACCCAACACGTGTGACCACCTTGGTGCAGTCAAAACCCTTTATATCACTGTAAAACTGTCAAAACCCAATACGTCCTCTTTGTGATGCTATTTGATGGAGAAGTTCAGAAAACGTAATGGATTATTGAATGAAATACCTGACATGAAAATGAATGAAATGAATGGGAAGGGCGGCGAATCCTTGATCCACCGCCGCTGGATCAAGGATTCGCCACCTGCCACTTGCCATCGTGTCCGCTGCTTTACCTATTACTCTGGATTAGCGATGCCAGTTGCAGAAAAATCTATATCCAATGTCCGTCCAATGTCCGGCTCCGGCTTTTTCGTCGACTCTCCGTCCAAAAATGTTCAAGCGAGCCATTTTTCCAAAGATGTCCGAAAACTACGCAATAATTAACATTCAGCATTGTCATATTTTAATGTACTAATACCTGCCCAAGAATGTTGATCATATCGAGAGCTCAGCTGAGCTTTCTATTTGCCAATCAATGCTGTACACGATTACTTTATAAAATGCTGAGGTGTAGCAAGTGATCGTCAAATGTTTTCCAAAGCCTGCAACCTTTGTCCAACCAAATTTCGAATTGGACATTAGACAAGATCGGAATTCCGAAGGCCCAAGTTCCGATTGGCACCACTACCTGGGATCCCCCAGTGTGAGGGGACCCACTGCACGATCACTGGGCGGTCCGGCGCGGCGATCTCGAGGAGGCAGTTCCAGACCTCCGTCACCTGCGCCGTCCTCTTGAGCCCAGGGTCCCTTCCCCAGCGCGACCAGGGTAGATTGGGAATCTGTGCAGATGATTATCGGCAGTGTGTAGTCACGAAAATGCGCTGCGAGGTGCTCCAGGGACCAGGGTCATATTGCTGTTGTTATTCCTCCCGGGCGACCTCAGGGTCGCCCGTCAGTCAGCGGCTCCAGATGGCGCCTGAAGCCGTGGGCCAAGGCCGCGACGACGTCGCCGTCGCGCAGCTGCGCAGGGTCCACATGGATGTTCCACATGGACCCAGCTGCGCAGGGTCATCGCGATGGCCAGCATCTCCGCTCTAAAACTGGAGCATAGCGCTCCTGCGGGCCTCTTCAGCTCGGTGCGGTCTTCATCGGCGTGGATGATCAGTGCACCGGCCAAGACGTGGAGGACGTCGCCAGTCGCCGACCCGTCGGTCCACAACCAGGTTGCGCATTGGGTCAATGACGCCAGGTGGTGGAGAGCGGCATCCCTCTTCGAGGAGGCGGCAGCTCCGGCTAGGAGCTCCGCTCGTATCTCCAGCTTGAATGTGATTGATTGCACCAGTCGGCAGCCAGGGTGGGTTGCGCACTGGGAGCAGCGGCTCAAACGGCAGCTCCACTCAGAGGTCCCGAGCCAGCAGACCTCACGACCCAGCTGGCGCCATCCGCAGACGGACTTGAGGCGCCCCGGATTTTAGGGCTCGCTTCCTTCACCTTGCTGTTCCGTGTCCATCTGACCAGGGTATCCGCCGCTCGCTTTGCCCGCCCCCGTGCAACGTCGATCTTGTTGTCCGAGCACAGTGTGGAAGTGTCCGCGAACATAAATGGCATGGTTCCCGGCAGGGCTCGGATTGCTGACGCTAGTGGTGCCGACCACAACAAAAACAAGGTCGGGTACAGGACGATGCCCTGTGGCAGTCCCGCCCTGAAGATGCGGGCCCGCCGCTTCTTGCTCCGTTGAGTTCAATGCAGGCCTGCCGGTCCCGGAGAAAGTCCTGCCCATGAGTTGATGCACGTCGTCGTCGGTAGGTCCTAAGGTACTCCCAGCTCTGCGAGGCCGGCGCGCAGGAGGCGGTGGTCCACCTTGCCGTAAACTCGTGTGAAGTCGTCTGCTACGAGGACGAATCTCTGCGCCGACTCGCCGTCCGGCAGCTGTTTGGGGATGGGGGGCACGGCTTCAGCTGCCATCCGTCTTGGACTTGTTGACTCAGACGAGCGATGACGTCTTCCATGTCCGGCTTCCCTCGGAAGCCGACTTGCTTGGGCGGGACTATGTGCCGGGTTGTGTTAAGATGTTTAAGTCTGGATGCGACGACTCGTTCAGCCAGCTTGGCGATGCGGGATGTGAGGGCGATCGGGCGGTGACTTGCCACGAGCCTCTGGTCCTTCTGGTCCTTCCCCGACTTGGGGATGGGCACGATGACGGCGCGGCGTCACTGCCGCGGGACCGGCGCCACGAGACATTGATGAGTAGGAGCAGCGCTCTGCAGGCCACCGGGCTCAGATGTCAGAGGTGCTCATTGCACAGGTCATCGGGCCCTGGGGACTTCTTCGGCTGGGCACTGGAGATTTGACGCAACAGCTCTTCCTCGGTGAACGGGGAACAGAATCCCGTTCTGCCTCCCCTGCACTCTTTACAGGAGCCGACTTCGGCTTCCTTCAGCTGATTCTTGGCCCGGCGATCGATGTACTTTACCTGCACCTGTCTTGATACGGAGGCGTATTTATGTATTTGCGATTGAACGCCGTCACCTTATCTCTGTTCGTCGTTAGGGTGCGACCATTGACATCCATGGTTTCGTGTTTCTGGGGTTGTCATCAAACGCGTCCTTTCACATCTTGAGCATCTGGTTGACCCTCTTGAGGCTCTGGTGCTTGTTGAAGTCCTTCGTCACAAATTCTCCAGTGTTTCTGGGAGACACGGCGCTCGACGCGGCGCGTCTCTTGGCCTCGGTCCAGCGCTCCTTAGCCTGGGAATCGCTGTTTCGCATGGCTTTTCTCGCCCCAAGTGAGAATAGCGGGGGTCGCGTCATTTGAGCTACAGGTCAAAAAACAGCGCCTTACATCAAACCAATAATAACTTATATTTTGAGACATCTTGCAAAAAAAGTGAGGTCTCTCATGGCTGGAAGGTCAAACAAGTGGCAAAATCACATACGTTAGGAAGTCTGAGTTGCAGTATTTCTGGCAAAAGCCCACACGTGGCTCGGTAGGGGTTTTCTCGATAAATTCATCACTCAGTATTTTAAAGTAAAAACCCATTACGTCCTCATCACAGTCATACGTAATGGGTTTTGACACTTCTGGCATGTATCCATTGATGCCAAAAGTCTACATTCTTCGGAGGTTGTGAACGTAATGGGTTTTGTGGCATTTAGCCGGCTATCAAAATCCTATATTTTGGCACACCTAATGGCTTTTGCCTCGAAATTGAACGTAGTGGCTACTTTCATTGAATTCATGATGTTCGATGACTGACCTAGTAATTCCAAAAATATAAATTTTGATTTTTCTCGAAAACTATATAAGATAACATCCTACGTATTGGTGCAATCGATACACCTTGTTACAACGATCATAATGGTGTAAAAAACAAAAAATGACCCAAAATTGACGTAATGGGTTTTGACTTTGCACGGCAGCCTGTAATCAGCATTCTAGATTAGCTGCGTCGCCAGCTTATTCAGATGAGTGTTTGATGGTTGAAGGGGTCATAAAACCACGACCACGTCCCTCGTGGTTCCAGTAACTTATCAAATACAACGGAAGGGACCACCCAGGGCTCCTGATTACTCGCGTCAGTCAGGAAAAGCACGCTTTGCGACACTGAAGAAACATGTCATTGAAACGAGATAGTGGTGTGACCCACAGCACAAGCACATTGGTCGCGTGTCGCCGGCAAGGATGGAATCAATTAGCCGGCCACAGTAAGTTGTCGCCCATGCGATGTTTTGTCTATGAGGCCAGCTCCTGCGCCATTCGTGATTGTCGATCGTCGGAGTTCTTTCAGCGACAAGCGATCGGTAAGAAAGCTCGCAACGACTCCGACAGTAAGAGATCTCACATTCCGCTCTAATCGATGATAAATCTCACACCCACTCCGATCGGTGAGAAATATCCCACATCCCACTCCAACGCCAGCCAGCGATCGAACTCGGCGTGGAAACTTGGAGCAGAGCCAGAGCGAGAAAACAGGCTCGACTCGAATCTACTGTCTGGGCGCTAACGCTGATACAGATATGAGGGAGACAATCCCTTGGGTTCATCAAAATACTGCACGCTATTGTCATTTTCGAATACCCTTTATTCAATTCTCCCCTCGCATCTACAAAGTCGGAACCAGCGCCGACCCGCGGCACATAAGGTTATTCCCGAACTCCCCTGCTTGCTTCAAGCTACACATCTGAAATGGCTAGCATTAGCGGCACACCTGAGTTCAGCTACCATCGTTAATGAGTCCTGACCTATCCTCTCTGACCTATCACCCCATTCCGCTCACTCCCGCAGTGACCTACGGCACTGTCAGGGCCGGGCGCCCGGGGACCAGCGTGATCTTCAGACCGCTCCAGCCGCCTGCGCAGTGACCCGGGACGACCTTCAATCACGACACAGGGGAGTGACGGAGGGAGCACTGGACAGTCACCCAGTTGACGCAGAGGTGCCAAAGGTCGGCTATTGTCGGACGGTGGAGCGACGGCGGAGGGCGAGGGGCGTCGACGGATAATGGATGGTAATGGACGAATATTGGATAATTTCATTGGAATGATAAGGATGGATGAATGAATAATAAAGGATATGGTGTAAATAATTGATCACGAAACTCTGACACATTTATTCGCTTTTTCTAGTTAAATGAAAGTTCAATCTCAGCGTTCAATTTGTGGATGATATACTGCCGTCGCCATTGAGACCGTTCCCTCTGTGAGACTGCCCGCACTCAGCCGGTTACCGGGTACGGCAATACCGGGCGCATTCAGGCGTCCCGGGAACACCGCCACAAACCGTCCCGGGCTCAATCACGGAGCTCAGATTGGATCGTAAACCGGACAGATCGGATGACGGCCGCGGCAGCGGTGACAATTGGCGTCACAGCAGTCGCGGCTGTGTCTGGGTCCCAACAGCCCCCGACAACATCGGTCGATCCTAAAACCACAGCTCAGTCGGCCCCTGCAGTCCCCACTCCCCATCCACATAGCTGGTCCCATCCTCACCGCCAAAGCTCCGTCAGTCCCCACAAATACAGTTTAACCTCGTATGCACAATGCACTACACAGCCTAGAGCGACTCCCAAGACAGCAGTGCTAAAGTTTACCGGCACTTGTTACCTATCGATGACTGGCAGTGTATCCCGCGACCAGCCAACCATCACTATCCCTGTAGCAAATCAATCACAGCGCACGCTACCTCGCTTCTTTTAGCAGCCCCTTCCTGCACACCCATCTGGCGTTCTAACCTTGACGTTGTTCATGATCTTGTTGTAGGCACCCTCGAGGAACTCCGCACAGAACTGCTTGAGGAACAGTCGGATGGTCAGCATGGAGCGGCGCGCCACATCACCGTCAGAGAGCGGCTGACGGTTCTTGGGAGTCTTCTTCGGCACCTGGGACACCGAACACGGAGAGCGTTAGAGTAGTAGGAAAAGAATAAGTCATGAGGCCAGGCCACAGAGATATCGTATATATGTATTATCGTTCGAGGAGTCATTACGATTTGATAAAAACTCACGCCGGTGCATCTTGCCGGTGCATACACCGGCCGGTCTTGTGTCCGCCGGCAGTCTCACCTTTCCCTTGTCGAAGGAGAGCTCGTTGATGCTGGCCAGGGGCTGGTGGTAGATAAGGGACCGGTCTTACCTTTCCCTTGTCGAAGGAGAGCTCGTTGATGCTGGCCAGGGGCTGGTGGTAGATGAGGGACCGGTCTTACCTTTCCCTTGTCGAAGGAGAGTTCGTTGATGCTGGCCAGGGGCTGGTGGTAGATAAGGGACCGGTCTTACCTTTCCCTTGTCGAAGGAGAGCTCGTTGATGCTGGCCAGGGGCTGGTGGTAGATAAGGGACCGGTCTTACCTTTCCCTTGTCGAAGGAGAGTTCGTTGATGCTGGCCAGGGGCTGGTGGTAGATAAGGGACCGGTCTTACCTTTCCCTTGTCGAAGGAGAGCTCGTTGATGCTGGTCAGAGGCTGGTGGTAGATGAGGGACCGGTCTTACCTTTCCCTTGTCGAAGGAGAGCTCGTTGATGCTGGCCAGGGGCTGGTGGTAGATGAGGGACCGGTCTTACCTTTTCCTTGTCGAAGGAGAGTTCGTTGATGCTGGCCAGGGGCTGGTGGTAGATGAGGGACCGGTCTTACCTTTCCCTTGTCGAAGGAGAGCTCGTTGCTGCTGGCCAGAGGCTGGTGGTAGATGAGGGACCGGTCTTACCTTTCCCTTGTCGAAGGAGAGCTCGTTGATGCTGGCCAGGGGCTGGTGGTAGATGAGGGACCGGTCGCTGATGGAGCGCATGTTCTGTACCGTGTACGTACCCCCGAAACGGGTGTGTCTGAGGGAGAGAGGGGGTAAGTACCCAGTACCCAGTACGTACCCCCGAAGCGGGTGTGTCTGTATAGAGGGGGGGGGGGGAAGTGAGCACGCTCAACACGCGAAAATGGTGGTATATGGAGATGGCAGTGCTGAGCAATTATAGCTTCAGCAAGCATATTTAAATACCAGTCCGTGGGTAAAATGTACTTTATGTGAAAAAAAAAATCAACATAAAGTTTGTGTTCCGGACAAAATAACCTTCAAATGATCAGTGGAAAGGGCAAATAAGAATGAGTTCAGCTCCTATGCGGCTCTTTGTGGATGTGCGTCACTGTACATGTGAAAATGATTATATTACTGTGATTGACCAAGTTGGCAGTCGAAAAATCTAACAACACATAACGGCCAAAATGAGTAGTTTCGGCGAATCAAACAGTCATTTGATATCTCGTCAAAGTCGACCCGGGAATAAATTACGCCCGTACAAAGACTCAATAAGACGAGCGGAGATGAGACGACCCTTATGAATAGCGATCCACACGCTTCACTGACGTCCTGACAAACAAACCCGGGAGAACTCTTATCGAAATCAGGACCAAACCGGCCCCGTTCAGCGGACGGCAGCCGGTCCACCCGCGTACCGGAGGTTGCTGAGCTGTTTGGCCTTCTTCTGTTTGAGCTCCTGCTCCTGAACGCGGACCCGGTCCAGCTCACGTACATCCTTCTCACGCTCCTGCTGGCTGCGAGCCGCGCCGGAGCGCGCCAGCTGCTTGGCGTCCTGTTCCCGCAGCATCAGCGACACCACCTGGCGGCCGCAGAACGAAATTCAAGTGCGCCATATCGACGGCAGTGGCGCTGAGCGACATATCCTTTCTTCGGATCTCAAGAATTGCGAGAACGGAGTTTAATGAATAAATAGCAGGTTAAAAAGAGACCATTCGATGATAGTGTAATGCTCGGTTACAAAAAGAAGTTTGCCAAAGCTGGTCAGACGCACCCTCATTCAACAGTAGCGCAGAGTCCCAGAACGAGCAATGCGGTACACCCTACCTTCAGGCGCTCACAGCCACTGCCATCTACTGGCAGGAATGTAAGTAACCCAGGCAGTAGCTCTGCTGCGATGTTTTAGAATATCAGCATCATTCGCGAATCGCGATAGCAATTTCGACAAAAAAAAACATCAGTGGCTTAGTTAAATAGTTACATTACACAATACACACGACAGTTCGAGAAGCAGTTTCAGAGGTATTAGTCCGCAGCCGCTCTTACCTCGATAATATGCATGCAAAGGTGCTGCTCATCATCAGATTGCGCCATGAAGAGGATAATGTCGTCCAGCTTAGCCAGGTGCATCGCCCACAGAACCTACAAACCACGGAACGGCGAACAGACGTCAACAAGGTTGCAAAAACATACTGAACAAACATCATGAACATATCGAACGGTCAGAACGCAAAGAGCAGACAAACCACCGGTAAATCGACATCTTCCTACAACAATTTTCCACTTGAATGAAGAAAACACATCAATAGGTTTCCAACCACCTCGATGGCACCGGAACCCCCGAGCCCATCCAGGGCTTCATCTCCCACCATATCCCACAGCTCTAGCCTCTCGTGGCGGCGGCGCTCGGCACCGACCTGGTCGTGCACGCTGGCGTCGTCGTCGGTGCGTTTCTCGGCGGCCGGGTTCACGGGAATGTGCAGGACGTTACGAACCAGAATCAGCATGCGCTCGATCATCAGACGATCGTCCTCCATCCGGCTGTCCCAGTCCTGGGCAGAGCCGCGAGGGGCACAAATAACGGTCAGCTGCAGAGTCCTTCACCGGCTCACCTTTCCTGGCATATAGGTAAACATACAGCCGGCGGAGAATATACACGCAAAGAACATACGGGGAATTATTACATAGCTGGATCATGTCAATAATCACATCAGTAATGCCTGACACCATGTCATCAACTAGCAGTTGACAACATTCATACCATATTATGCACGAACATATCAAGTCATTACCATCTTACAATTTTTTCGGTCTAACAATCATTCTCACCGCCGTCGGTCGACTTCCCGCCATGGACTCCTCCTCAGCGACCTACCTTCTCGAGCAGAGCTGCCATGCGAGTGGTGAGCGCCTCCCAGAACACCTTGTCGCTGAAGGCCTCCTTGTAGGTCTGCAGGTACTGGATCACCTCCATGTAGTAGCGGCGCGACACGCGCTCGCCGGGCAGCTCCTCCTCGTACAGCACCAGCGCCGGCGTCGTCAGGTTCACCAGCAGCCTGACGGACATCGGGCGTTAGAGATGGAACCAGCCTGACGGACATCGGGCGTTAGAGATGGAACCAGCCTGACGGACAACTGGGCGTCAGATGACGAGAGACGGGACCAGTGTCGGTGCGGTCAGATTCACCAGCAGTCTGAGAGACGAACGGACAGCGTTATAGGAACAGGATCCAGAAGAGCATCGGCCAGGTCACCAGCAGCCTGGGGGACATCAGACATTGTCAGATAGAGAGGTAGAGGACAATGGAGAGAGCTGTGTCATCGGTAAGCACACATGCACAAACGCCTGCCAAAATCCTCACCTGAGTGTAACATCCAGCAGCTCAACGTCACTTGAGTGGTGTTTGATAATTGGGATGAGATCCTTGACTACCACTTTGGTCTCCCCAAGTGCTCTGCGAATCTCGTGGTTTTCATCATCTCTTCGCAGGAATCGCACCAAATCCTTCACACATTCTGAAAGTAAGACGCGATTAAACAATGCAACAAACAATGCATATTTAAATCTCTCTCACATTCTGACAAATCAGCCTCGTCAGTAACCCGTCGTGCACACCTTACAAGGCCAGCAGAGAGACATCCTGCATGCCAGATCAGGTGGCACAGCTCAACATTTTACATGCTACAGCAACGACTGCTTCAGTCAAGGCAATGCATGGTATAAAAATAAGAGCACAAGTTACGCGTTACGAAGTTCACATATCGGCTGAGCATCTCTTACCCAGACACTCTGGCTCCCTTTGGTATTTTCCTGTGGCATCGTCCAGGTAGCCGAGGCTGTTACAGGTGGCAGACAGGTCCGCCATCAGCATCGGGTCGATGGTCAGCGTCGTCATGACTGGCTGTAAATACAAGCGATCTGCGATTGTGACGTTTTTAGCGGACATAGTAAAAAGAGTGTTAGTTGAATTACCTATTATCTCAAAAGGTTACCTAAAGACCAAACTTAAAACAGATCAGTTAAATTTTGGGCGCAATCCTGCCACTACACCAGACATATTTGGCATAGCGCGGCGTCCTCTCGGTCCTCTCGTCCTCTCCGGGGATAGGGAGCGGCGGCGGGCTACCGAGGAGTGGCTTGAATAGTGACTCGGACCAGTTGTCGCACCGACCGCACAATGAACCACCCTGGTCAGCGAGCGGGCGTCCGAGGGCAAGGCGGCCGCTTGTTTCGCCAGGTCATCCATGCTCTCATTTCTCTCAATACCGTGTAAGGGCAAAATTTATACGTCGGAGAGGAGCGGCGGGCCGGAGTACCAGAGTGCGTGTAAGGCCAGTCCGCCGTATGATAGCCTCCGGCGGGAAAGGCGTGCCCGCCGGGTGAAAGGCTGCGGCTGGCCGGCACCTGGGACTCGCGGGCCCGTCTCTCGTGGCATTTGCCAGTGCGGTGTCGTCGGGGCAACATCTTTCGGTAAGCGAATTTTCCCATCCCCCCTAAATTAATGCCGCAGCGCCCAGGCGCTGCGGAAGTCCCCGACAAATGTCCTGGATTTCATTTGGCTTTCCGACCCGCCGCAAATAGCGGTGGGCACCCCCGTTATATCCAGGACAGTCCCATCTAAATTATAATTAATCGGCGCGGCGTGTGGCGTAAATGAGTGAGCGATTATAAGTGTGATGTGTAATGTGTATAGTGAGCGCGAGTGAAATGATCCGAAAGTTTAACACTTTGTCCCGCGAGTCCAGAATACAATGTAATGGGAATGTGAGCCAAATCTTTGAATTGGGTAAAGGCAGATGCCGGGCTGATACACGGTGAACGTGAACGAACAATCATACGGGCCGCTTAGTTTAATACACCCGGGTGGCAGGCGGGCATTGTAGAGTAACTTTGATCAACGTAACGTCTGTACATGGGGGGAACCATTAAAAGGTTGCAGGTTCCGATGCTTGAAACCCCTACAACCGCACTGGGCAGGAACCCACTGCAGTATTACTCAAAGGGAATAGCTCACTTTCATGAAATTAGTTTTTCAATGGATTTATGATTTGTTATCTATGCTCAAAATGATCAGCAAAGAAAATAAAATAATTTTTTTTGTAAAAAAGATTATTTTCTATATTTTAATATAGAAAGAACTCTTCAGTTCTAAAAGAGGGAAATGATCCCTGCAAGGCATATATTCCTCAGCAAGGCACTTTTTTTCTTTTTTCAGGAAGAGAAATGGGATATATTTGCCTAGGGTGATCATTGGGCCGTAAAAGCTCCTGAATTGTGCTTGTCTTAGCTCAGGCTACAAAACTGCTATTCCAGTTCAAAACCCCATGTTAAAAGTGAACTATTTTCTTTAACGATGCTCGGCAATGTTCAACAAGGTCTTCCATACCTATCTCCACGCCAAGGATTGAGGCCTCACTTAGGCTGCCGCTCCTCTGTTGAGTTACTCAGGGCTGCTCACGCCTCACCAGTTCGAGCATGCGATGACCGGGACAGGGATGTCTCATCCTGAAACCTCTCCAGAGCTGCCCACGGGAAGAATCTGCTGCTAGATTGACCAGCGTGCTGACTATTTATAGTGAGTCTTTCGTTAAAGAATTATGCAGCCACCCAACACCAAAAAATCAGCTGCCACCATGCACTGAATTCGGCACATGCAAAGTTACGCTGGACATGCGTGGAAATTTCCAGCGCAATCCTGCCACTAGGTACGCCAGACATATTTGACATAATGTGTATTGTTTCCGGTCTGGGCTGAGTGATCTCATCAGTTCCCTGTCATACATTTGTGGAGTCAAACTCAGCGCAAATTTAAAATTTACAGTGTCAATCTGCAAAACAAACCGTACCTACCTACCGACATATTATTTCAGCGCTTGAATTTGGACAACCTACTCACCTTGCTTGAAGTGCTCACGTGCTCCGACCGATAGATTGAAGGCTGATACAGCTTATTTTTGCTTGAATTCAGGGAGAAGAGGCCAGAGAAGACACAATTTCAATCGTGACACTCAGCGAAATCGTATCTTATTCTCAACCCGAATGAAAAACAAAACAGAAGATCCTCCTACCCTCATACAAATATGCACCGATCTGCAAAACAAGCGCCAGTTCCCGCGAAAACTGCCCTAGGTGTTCACTATCAGTAAAACTACATTTGCTTGTTTCATGAGCAGTATTTAGACGAATCAACTTGTAGTAAATTTTCAATTAGCCAATCAAAATTCAGTATTTGCTAGCGCGAGCAGTGCTTGAACAAAATAGATTACTACCATATCTTCCCGCCATATCCCAGAGATCCCTTTACGCTGTACCTTCACTGAACGCTCATCAAAGGACAGCGGACATTTAATGATTTACGATACCTCATACCCCGTGCGCGCGGTCCAAGGCCCTATATACCGCGCGGTCCACCTCCCCCCGTCCACCCTAACCCCCCGTGCGCGCGCTAGCTGGCCCGTGCGGGAAGTTCTAGTGCACTGTGCGACTGCAGACGTAGAGTTTCACGAATTTGACACTTAGCCATGAACACTCGTCACCGGTCACAGTCGCCAGTTTTTTTTCTCGTGCCATGTGGGACAAGTACAGAATTTTGGTGTTCGTTGAAGGCACATCTTGCTGTTGCGGGTTTTCTAATGAATAATGATCACGTGAGCCGCCCGTGGTCGACGGTCGCTAAGGGGCTGAGCCGGTACTCGCGGCGACTTGGCGAAGTCGCCAGCGTGACATTTGCGCTGTTAGTGACCGGCGCGAGACCATGGCACGGCGAATTTCTGTATCTGCTGCTAGCAGACAGACATTTGGCGAAGCCGCTGCCAGAGCAGCATATTGGGCCTGGCCGAATGTCGGACTGCCAGCAGCAGATTCGCAAATATCAATGTTTCGCTACATTCAGCCAGAGACATTCAGCCAGCTGCCCTAGTATCCGTTTGGCCCCGGGTCGGGCCAAGTCTGGTGACCCACCTGTGTCGAACTACGAAACCATCCACTACGAATGTAACCGTAAGCCACTAGCCAGTAGACGGAGTCCGACACTGTGTAATATCTGTCTGATTCATCCTGTTCTAACTACATCCCCACTCGCAGACCGTGCCGTCCGCATAACTGCTTCCAAAAGAACCCCGAATAAAGCAATCGGGAACAGCATCGGTGGCCACATTGCGTGTAACAAGCACTCTGCCATTTGCTCTGTGAGTTAGTAGAGAAGTTTCCCGGGCGACATCGCTCTTGTCGCGTTGTTACCAGCAGTCCGCTGCACTAAACGCAGAGGACGCCTCGTTCGCTCGCAGTCCGCCAGTATGGGCGCACAGTGCGCCGAAGCGCCCACCGCAGCTCCCCGCCCGCCGCTGGCTCCGCGTCCATAGAACCGACTCGCGAGTAAAGTGCATTTGCTGACACCAAACCGTGTCCTGGCCAATGAAAATACATTCACGGGTTACGGTGAACAAATTGTGAGTATTTAAACGCAACCTGGACAGCTGCTGCCACAGTGGCAGAATCAGAAGGCGCAATCAGTCAACTATAACAAATAAATAAGCTCTAGTTCTAATACTTCAAGCAATAAAAGCGTAACAACCAAACATAGCACCAATAACGAAAACAAAGTGCAGCGTAGACTAGCCTGAGCAGGTTGGAGCGCCTCAGCTTGCATTCCGTCATGCTTTCAGCTGCAAAACACAGTCACGGTACTTGGCGAGAAGCTGGCATACCAGTTGTGCACAGCTCATCAACGGCTTATCTCGATCCCGGCCGCGGCGGCGTCACACATGCACCCCCCTGCCCCCTTCCCCCCGGGGGCTGGCCACGGGACCCAACAATGCGTCCGTGCCGGCCATTCCGGATCAGGGACGGACATTTGGACGTCGTCAGACGCACTCATGACGGGCAAACGAGTCAAACATGCACTAAAACAGACCACTCTTGGCTTGTCATTTAAATTAGAGGCGTGGTTTAAGCACTCGGACGCGGCAGGCCTCCCCTCAATTCGCAGGCAGGTACGTGCAAACGCGCGCTGGCGGGCAGGCGGGCGGGCGGGCGGGCTGCAGGCGGGAGGGGCCGCGGCGCCGGGCCGGCGGCGGGCCGTGCCGTCAGCTACTCTGTAAACGGACAGCGATCGGTCAGTGTCGGCGGACCCGCCCGTCCGAAGACAGAGCATGCGGGTGGCACGGAGCTACAGCGGGGCTGAACATACGAGCTGCCAATACGGCAGGCAGGGAGGCACCACGCAACAGGTGGTGGTAGTCATGGCAACGGTCAGTGGGCGGCAGCGAGCATACGGGTGCGAGCCACGAGCGACAGTAAACAGGCTGCACACGAAATAATGTCACACACGGGCACCACAGAGCAGGCACACGACGAAATATTGTCACACGCGAACATTACAGGGCAGGCACACGACTTGGGCAAGTCGGGAACCAAGAAATAGCAGACGAATGTGCAGCGCAGGCATGCTGCAGGCGAGCGAGGCGGCGGGTAAGGCTACAGCTTAGCTATCTTTCCACTATTTCCGATAAGAAAAGAAACCGTTCACTGATACCTGTCTGGGCGACAGAATAGGACAGAAAGAAAGGATACATATCACGGTTTATGTTGATAGATGCAGTGTGGACTGTTAAAAACAAACACCGGTGCCATGTTAGCAAACCACTAGCTGCTGGTAACGCGCGCTAAAACAACAAATACAGCGCATAGCATCGGCGCTTTATTCCATTCGGCACCGACTATGGAATACAGACGCGCTATAGCTCTCGATTCCGTACAACGGATGACTGTTGCTGACTATGCAAGATCGACTAGATGCTCAAAATGAACACGATTCCCGCCGACGGCTACGGGTGCCCCTGTAAAACCAAGAACAAACGCGCCCAGCCCCGGCCCCGCCAGCCCGCGGCGGCGGGATGAGCTCGGGACGGCGGGCCTGCGATATCACGTGAGCGACACTGGGGGACAGTAGCAGAACAATACCCGTGACCGGTGGTCGGATTGTGCACCGTGCTCTGACCGGCACACGGCGCGGTCAGCTGACATAAAATATGGCACCGGGGGATCAGCCAGCGAGACAATGTCACGATTCAACACATGTGAGCCCACTGCAACTGCCAACGTAACGACAAAAACGCGTTAAACGGCACAAATAGACCTCCGATCCTGGGATAGTACTGGCCATAGCTTAGTGTACACGCAGAGAGGCACACAGACACACACGCGGGCGGAGCAGAGAGGCGGACAGAGCGGCCCGACCCCAGTGAGGGCAGTGGGACCCCGCCCCGGAGCCCGCTCCGCCCGTCCTGAGGTCCCCGACCCTCGGGCGCGCCCTGAAAGCCCAGGTTCGCCACACGGACGCCACCCACACCCCGCCGCGCGGACCGCATCACGCAGCGACATTATTCCTCTGTTCACCGCCGCCTGAATGGTCACCAGCAGCCTGCGCCCGACAACAGGCATTCTGCGGCCGCCTATCCTACCCCCCCCCCCCCCCTCCTGTTCCGGCGCGCCGGTCACTCGGCGCCGAGCAGCGTCTGGGCGCGGCGCTGCCAGTCGGCGCTGTCCCGGCGCACCTGTCGCGTGTTGCGGTCCACCTCCGGGTCCGGCTGGCCGTAGGCGGGCGGGTTGGCCTCCGGGTCGTAGCCCAGCACGCGCAGCATGGGCGCCAGCTCGGCCATGTCGCGCACCACATCCGACGGGATCTGGCCGACCCACTTGGAGAGCGCGTCCAGGTTCACCGGCTTGATCACCTGGTCAGAGGAGCGCTCCGTCCTGGTCGCAGACGGGGGCGGGGGCGTCAGGGGGCAGGCCTTCAGCAAGGAGGGTGGTGACACGACAAACGGACGCTAATGTATGGGGGAGTTTCCTGGACATTGGCGGTTATTGTGCTCTAGCGAGGGTCGATAGACAGCGGACCGGGTTCGGACGATCAAACTAAACAACGGACGGGTCAATGCACAAACATGAATTTAGTGCCAACTTCTAACAGAAAAGGATTCGATTAACTCTTCACAGCATATGCCGATGACAGGTCCAATGAGAGAAATACTAGCCGAGTGGGCGTTCCACTCCCACCATCTCCATCGCTACTCCCGGAGCCGTAACTCGGCCTGCCAGCGACTGAGGCGACTCACTTGGAGAGCGACACGCCGCCCGGTTTGTTGATGGCCTGCTCGTGGTGCAGCACCGTCTCGTTCCAAGGAATCTCCAGAAACTGGAGCATGCGCTGCATCCAGAGCCGCGGGTGTAGCACCAGCTGCTCGTAGGGCACCCGCAGACACCAGCGCGGCCCCAGCTCCAGGCACTGGCGGTTCATCGTCTCCATAGCCGCGTTCCAGCGCTGCATGCACTGCCGGTAGCTCTTCAGGTCGAACCCCGTGATGGTTACCTGGCGGAGACGAAAGGGACCTCGTCACTTGTGAGACTGATGACAATGTAAGGTGGTAGCTTGTAAACACACATAGGGGAGAGTGGGGTAATTTGGCCGCTTTTTTTTAGAAAACGATGTAACTAAAAATCAACAACACATTTCTGCATTTTCTCAACGTTGACAGGTGTGGCATACATTTTACTTTCCTGGACAGTAAACTTGAAATGATAGAGTAACTACTTATCTTGAAATTGTGACGTATTACAAAGGTCTGCAAAGCGGCCAAATTGCCCCACTAGCAGGGTTATTTGGCCGGGGGTGTGGGGCAATTTGGCCGGTGTTAGTTTGAGGCCATTATTTTTGCTATAGGCGAGTCAGCTTCACATTCAGCAATGACGCGTGTCCTACGACGCATTTGAAGCATTTTGGAGGTTGACTCAGCCGTCACAGGGGTCGAAAATAGTCAAAATAGCGGCTCTAGATGCGATGACAGTTTTTTACGAATAGCTTTTGAAGTATAGGCCAAAACTAAAAGTACCATCGTAATTCTCTCGTCATTCCGCATCGAAACATGTATGTGTTGACCTAGAGAGGTCAAGGTACCAAAGGTTTGCTTCAGGTCACGTTACCTCAGGTCGCTTGACCTCAAGGTTGCGTGAGTTCAAGGTCATCATGTATATCATTCGATGCGCCTTGACGAGCTGAACACAATGAGACCATTTGCGCGGCTGTATCTTTTTTCTGTAAGTATTTATTAGCAAAAAAGCGTTAGGTAACCTTTGATGACGTCACATGCCCTTACAGCTGTCCAATAGGAAATATGGCATCAAGGTAGTCAAAGTTGGTCATGAATTATGTCCTTTATGGTATAATTGACCATGACAACTCGGCCGTCCCTGCATAGTGACTCTGAGCGCACCGGCCAAGTTGCCCCGCTAGTCCCGGCCAAATAACCCCACATTGCCATTCTGAAATTTTTTGTCTATAAAGTCGTCATGGCTGTACAGAACTAGATGAAATTGCTCTTGGAACCGCTGAACACGCTCAAGAATGGCGCTATAATGTCGGAATTCTCTTACCACCCAAATACTACATGTTATACAACTTTTTAAACGGAAGTGAAAGTTACCATTTTCTAACGAAATTCACGTTTTATTAATTTTGAATAAAACTAAGAGGGGGAAAGGTTTGACATTTGTTCTCGAGTTAGTTCTACCGATGACAAATGAATAGAGACTAAAGTTATTTCATTCACTTTTATCAGCTTTCGTACAAGTGGGGGCGGCCAATTTACACCACCGGCCAAATTACCCCACTCTCCCCTATTAGTGTGCTTACAACATAGTCACAGAGGAGACATGCAGTCAGGGATGCACGTAACATATCGGCTTCCTGCTGCACGTTCTGTTTTGACATTGTGGACGCCAGTGAGAGGTGGATGTCTCACTGGCCGCAGTGGGTCCCAAATCCCAATGGCTGGTGCGGGCCAGTGGGATGTGGGCGCAACACTCGGGGAATGGGTTAATAACCAACGACTAAACACAAACTTAATAAACGTCAGCGCCCGTCAGCGTGGGCTATTCTAGGCGATATAACCGACCTCGAAAAGTTCAGTTCACAACTCATTCAAGACGCCCCGCGACAAAATACCGCGAACTCTGACGAGGCGCCCTGACCTGACCAAAACACTAGAGCAGGTAAATCCTGAAAGTTGCGTACGAGGAAAAGGTGCCGGGGAAGTTCTTCAATGCGACCTTCACAAACACACCTTCGTCGCATTAGACTGACACCTATCAGAGACTAATTATAATGGAATAAGTTCGCAGAATGAAGTGAGGATTCCGAACTCTCCAGGGGACCTCACAAAAGAGATAGGAAGCCCTGGCCTATGTATTCGACTTTTGGCACAGGTGGACTGTCATGTTAAGCATTGCAAGTCTGCACTGAGTTCATAAGACCAATCCCATCACAGCGTCTCTAGTATGTCGGGGAAGTTTATAGGTTTTCAGGTAACACCGCTGTAAGTTGCAGCGACTCGTAGAAGTTTTGACGGAACAGCACCGCCGGCTGGGACTTATATTACATTAAATTTCAGTCATGACTGGCAGCCGCGGCAGGTCACTGGCTCCTTGCCTGCCGCTGGCGCAAACAAGAGTTCACGACCACTTAGCGAACTCATCTGGAGAAGACCCGTGCTGGATATGGACTGGAAATAATAGAGATAAAGCAGGGTTGAGGGAATACATTTTTGATCTACCGCCCGAGTATCACGTAACGTATGGCACAGGCCCACCCGACACCGGTCCTAGAACCCGTGCCCTTCCATCCCGTCTCACCCAGACCTCAGTCCCATCCCGCCCGGGGGGGGGGGCAGTCCGTCCCGTCCAGTCCAGGCGGGGGGGGGGGGGGGTCCGCTCCGACCAGTCCCGGTCACTCACGTGTCTCGATATGATGGAGTGCACCGTGGCCCGGCCGTCCCGCACCATGAACACAAACTTGGCTCGCGGGAACAGCCGGTGCAGATAGGTGGCCGATTTGATGGTGAACGGGTCCTTGTTGCAGAGCCGCGGCGCCGGCTCCCCGTGCTTCACAATCACCTCCAGGATAAATGACGATATGGCGGAGTTCAGCACCTGCCCGGCAGTCGCAGCACTCAGTTACAGCGTGAGTCACATGGGCGAGCACAGAACGGAGGGGACGGCACAGCCCCCAGCCCACATAAATAATCGCCCGGGGTCGCAGATTACATGGTGATCTCATCCTGTGACCTCAGGCCTCTCAAATTAAACGATCTCCACACGTCACAACCCGCTGCCGCCACCCCCGCCGCCGGAGCGTTCCTTCCTCTCACCTCGTCATTGAGGCCGGCCTCCTCCAGTCGCACACTCTCCTTGGCCGACTTTTTCCAGTGGGAGTACATGCTGAGTACGCGCGGGATGACGCGCGTCTCCTCGCCGCAGCGCACCATCGGGTGGGCGTCGAGCATGGCGCGCGCCAGCGTGGTGCCCGAGCGCGGCATACCGCCAATGAAGATCAGCGGCAGTGTGCGGTCCACCGGCGAGCCACCCAGCAGGATCTGCGCGCGCAGGAGGCGCCGGAGGGTCAGCTGGTAGGGCCGGCCGACCTGGGACGGGTCAGGGCAGGGCGGTGGCGCAGGACAGCCTTGCAGGCTACCGGGAGTTCAACTTCGATTTGCCAGTGAGAATGATGTAGGTAAGTAGCTGCTCGTTGTAAAATATGAAATAATATTAAGCCACAGTCTAATGAAAATTACTTAAGAGCAAAAAATAAAATAATTATATGAACAAAACCACAATACTGCACGAAGTTCGGTTAGTAATTACACCAAAAGCACACAAGGCGTTCGTTAGTTTCACATAACCATTAACCATATTGATCCGCAGAAAAAGCATAAAATGGTGTTATAAGTGAGCGTATCTGCCCGCTTTCCCCTGCCGGTGCTCACCGGGTTGATTGGTGCCGACGGCAGGATCTGCACCACTCTGTCATCACTGGTGAGGCAGGGTGGCCCCAGCAGCTGGTGCACCAGCAGCACCAGTGTCAGCAGGGCGCCGACGGCGGCCAGCCAGCGGCGCTGGGGACGCCACATGGTGCCCCCGGCCGGCCGATCACCTGACGGAGGGGCACACGGGGTCAGCAGGGGCGCAGGACCATCAGGGGCACAGGGTCAGCAGAGACACAGCGTCAGTTGGGGCAGGCCACCATCGCTGGCGTTTAACCCCAGCCGGGCGGTCACCTGGTAGATGCAAAAGAAAGCAAATAATTACCTAGTCATCGCTGTTCACTCAACCCACACCGCCGCGGTACGGTTAGCGAGGTGTTCCGTAACTATCGGAGACCAGCCTACAGACTGTTGTGTTTATTCTGTCCATCATGATAACGATACGCGTCAAAGTTCGTTTCGCGAAGTTCAAACCAGTCAGTCAAGACGCTAGCATTGGCTCCATTTACGGATCGCCTATTGATAAAAAGCTGCAGCCTGTACCGTCGACCCCGTGTTGAAGGAGACTGTGGCCGCGGTATGGAGCCACAGGCTCAGGCCCATGACAGTTTAGGGCCGCGATCACAGCCGAGTCCGATGGCGGCAGCAGCCAGCAATGACTACCATTTTTATTTGTAGGTATAGCCGGTGCCGATCGCGGATCACGGGACTCCCATAAGGATGATTGGAGCTTTTATATGCGAATATCGACCGCCGCACATGTAAACCGGGCTGATTGCCTCGAAAAGGTCTCAGAAAGGACAGCGCCGAGCAATAACAATTACTCTGGCGTACGTGACGCACGTCGGCGGCTCTCCGAGCGGCTTGTGGGCGCTACCAACATATGAGAACAAATACGACTGGCTTTTATAACATTGTTTGATACGACAATGCATTGCGTTTACAAAGAAATGCACAAACTGTTATGGATGCATTGAGATACACCTGGCCAAGGCAAATGGACATTAGCATAATGAGTCTCGCTCAGTATGCAATTTATTTGGTGGGTTAAATGGCAGCGAGGATTGCAAATTAGTTCAGCTAAACGATGGCTTAACATTTAGCAACGTTAGTACCTACCCGGTAAAATTACAGTAACACACGACATTCTATCAGGATTGCTGCCGATTATTACCAGTCAACGGAAAAGCTTCAGACAGAATTGGGAAACAGACAGACAGAAATTTGGAATTGAAATGGGAAACAAGTGCAGTAATAAATGCAGCATTTGGTGAATGCAGTGCAGCATTTAACTGTTACTTTTCTCTTCTATAAGTGTTTTGAAGAGTTATAGCAAAACTGTGGAATATCCCTAACGTTCGCCAAACTAAAAGTAATGACAGCATCTCAGCTAGCAGTTAGCACTAGCAGTTAGCACATTTACCTTTCACTGCAGCATGCCCGCCACATCGATCCGAGCTACAAAGTGCAACGCTGGGACGGTCCATAGTGTACCTTCTTTAAACGGCCAGTACACACAGCGACACTCATCGACCCGCCGCCAGAAACAGTCGTCAAAGTTCAGCAGTGACAACTCTGAAAGCCAGCGGTGGCGCCGGCATACCGGCACGTAGTAAACGATTGTTTACAACAGCCTCATCGTCGCTGGCAATCAATACCTACATTGTGAAGAAGAAATGATAAATTATCAAGCATAAGCAATTTACGAGTGTGATGATAATATGGTAGCGAAAAATGAAACATAAGGCCCTAAATTAAACGACTTGTTGAAATGGTTGGACTTTATACAGAGAAGGTGCACCGGTAAGCTGGGTAGGTAAACAATAACTCCATGGCCCTTGCTTTGGACCATCAACTGACTTATGCAAGGACTTATGTTTTAGGGCCTTGAACTGATTCAATCGAAGGAAGACAACTTTTTTTGGAGAGCACGTTCCGTGTGACACTTACTGAGCACTTGCGCCTAGCTCGTCTGTGTCTAATTACCAAGCCGTGCATTTTCAGGACATTACAGCAAGCTTCTCGGTTGGTGCATCCAAAATTACTTTAACGAATTACTTAACGTTACGGTGCATCGACCATATGGGTCTTACAACTGTTATTCCTATTTCCTAATATTAACATACCTGCGAACAAATTCAGCCATTACTTCACCCCACCGCGGGGATTAAATGGTAGCAAACGAGAAAAAAAAAATGCTTTTACGAGAGCAAACCGTGCATAAGCAAAAGGGTCCCGACTCCCGAGTTTCCTATCACACAGCCAAGTACAAACACATTTTCTCTCAACGTGGGCCGTGCGATTTTCAGACCCATGCTTTTCATATTTCAATGAAATGCTGCAAAGTATAAGAGCTCACAGACGCATTAGCTGACACCTCGCGAGTGTTTCAATTGTCGTGACCTGTGATCTGTCGTCAGTGCATAAATGGGATAACGATTTGGCATACCTACCCCGGGTACAATACACAGATAAGCAAAAAAGCACGCAATTGCTCAAATACCAATTCCTTGTTCCATGTACCCGGGGTAATAACCAACTCTGTGCTGACTACTAAATGTATTGCGGTGCAGTCCACCTTCCGGCGTACACTTCTAGAGCCATCTAGTGGCAATAACACACAACACAAAGCTGCTTTCGCATACGAGAGCCAGGAGGAAGGTAGGTATTTGTTGAGTGTTTTTATAACGTTTATGCTTCGTCAAAACATAAACAAACCAAGAAATGTCGCATGCCAATAAGGAACTAATCAAAATCACGGAATCACGAGAAATGGCTGTTCACATAATACGTTTATCTAATCTACTCCGAAGCCCGAGGGAGTAACCCACATGGTCATATATTGCTGTGTGTCGAAACAAGCCTCTCTCAGGTTTGAATCAACAGCGTTGGTACCTATATCATTATTGTTGGTTTTGAACCTGAGCCCGATAGGAAGTTAATGAACTATTTCGACTCGGGGTTCATTACCAGCCCAACCTGTTGCGGCGCAGGTCGGTGCGGTTTCCGTCTAAATACGGGTATGTGTGCGTGTTACCGGGTGAATACGGAGTCGACCGAACGCAGCTCTGAAGGTGTCGGTGACGCCAATCAGTCAGCTATTTCTGAACGGCGAACGCTGCCCATTGAAATACGGCGTCGTGTTTCAGCAGCGGCATCTCTACCGGCTAAGTTTCACTGCAATCACCGGAACATGTGACTAATGATTCGGCGAGCCAGGCCCAGCGCAAAAAAAAACATCCACAAATTGAAATAGGTACTGAGGCAAACTTTGAAATTTATTTTGCGCCAAATTGCAACTACGCGTTCCCGAATTCACATACTAATTTGCAGCCTGTTTCACGCACGACAAACCAGAAGCGTTTCGAGAGCCCAACGCAACGCCAGATATTTAGATGACTCATTGATATTACGTCAAGCAAGCAGTTGATTTTCTCTTAGGAGGCAAATGCAAGCCACCAAAGGAAGTGACAATTAGGGGAAATACTCGGGGTTCTTCTGAAGCATGTATCATGGCAAACTTTCAAAGCACAAAGTTACTCAAATAAGAGACGCAATGCTTGTTTTTCGAGGCTCCTTTATGCTGATGGGATTTCCCCGCAGACAATTTGATTAAAAAGTATTCGCCAGGCCCGCGCCAAAGATACTCACAGATAAACTGGATTGACGACACGTCCCTCCTGCCTGGCTGTCAGTCTGTGCGCTACTAGGGATTTCGCACACCGCGACTCCAGCGAAAGTGTCCGACCGCGGGCCGAGTGACCGGAGCGGCGCAGGAACTTCCCGGGTCGTGCCGTCACCGCGGCAGGACAGCCGACCGATCGTGACGGACAGCGTCACGTCACACGACTTCACGTAACGTCACCGTCATACGTGACGTCACGACACGTTGGCAACACGCGCACCGGTCCGCCACGGCCCGCCAAAGAGCTCGCGTCTAACAGGTGGTCGCGCGGCAGCTCTCCGACCGGCTCCTCCGCCCGGTCTTCGTCAGCAGCTGCGACCACACCGGCGCTACTGAGCCGTGACCGTCCCTCACGGTCCGTGCCGAGCCGTGCCCGTCCCTCACGGTCCGTGCCGAGCCGTGCCCGTCCCTCACGGTCCGTGCCGAGCCGTGCCCGTCCCTTGCGGTCCGTGCTGAGCGCGGAGCGAGCCGGCGCTCCTCGGTCGGCCGGCGGCCGGGTCAGAGTGCGGTCAGCAGGTGGGAGCCGCCGGCTGCGCGCACCGGATCGATGACACCGCCGCCAGCGTTGCCACAACAGCGGTCACGCCGGCCGCGACGGACGCTCAGACGCCGCCGACCCGACGGACGGACGAGCCGCGTCGGCGGCCACTGTCACTCGGCGGAGCGGCCCGGGCAGCGCGGTGACAAGTGGTGCTGCACTGGCCGCGGATAATTTTAGACGGCCCACCGACCACCCCGATCAGCTGGCGCCAGGCCCGCCCGGCCGGCCGCCGGAGCACTGCAGCCGACGGCAGCTGCCCAGCAGACGCCACGGAGCTCGGTCGAAACACGACCCAATAGGCCATCGAGATCAGTTAAATTGGGAATACGAGTCCCCAAGAGCCATGGTCTGGCGGTAGCTGTCGCTGTCTGAAGTTCTCATAAAAGTCACTGTTCAAAGCTTAAAGATAAACAATGGAAAAATACAGGCAAATCGTCGAAACATATCAGAACTGGGTCCATGTCTCGTCACCAAACAGCAGAACGTCGTCCAGACGGCCTGCGCGCGAGCCTCCGGCGCGCCTGAAGTCTGTCCGTGTCAGCGCCGGGGCGCGGCCGGTCCGCTCGTCACGCCGGACAGAGTGGGTCACTGTCCAGTGCCGGCCACACGGCACTGTCGCTGTCCATCACACGGCGTAACGAGTCCGACCGTGAGCCGGTGGCTCAGCAGTCCGGCCGGGGGACGGTCATCCCACCGAGCCAGTCCAGACATATTATGAACAAAAACAAACGGGCGACTCACTCAGCCGCCAACGCAGAGCTGAACACGACTGCCGAAGATCAGACGTTTAATGTCTCAAGCATATTACGCCCAGAACACATAAACAAGGGGTTATGTTAGTCGTTAGCTAGGTCTCCCAGCTTTGTCATATCGTTTTCTGTGTGCGCCCACAGCGGCGGCAGTCGGACCCAGTTTCCATTCAGAAGTTCAGTAGCGCCGACCGA